AAAATAAAAGTGGTTCACATTTCTTTACTGAAAGCAATCTTCCCATTGCAAGCGTAAGTTTCTTATGTTCCAGGGAATTACTCAGTCTAGTTTCCTACAATTCTACTGATTCCAATAATGATTAACCTTCACGAATTACCCTCATACGAAGGCCTATTGACAGATGTGGAATTCCGAAGAACATTAGCTTGGGACATCCAGAAATTTCCCTCCAGTTAGAAAATGTAATCAAGCCAGAATGACCCACCTTAAAGTCACACTGTTTCTCAGCCTTAAGTTTGCCACCCTGAACATGCTTAATAATAACATCACTGGTGATTTTGTAACTGACATAGCAGCAGTACTAGTTAGTCGTGCCAGATGCTGATCCGCACTTATCATCACTTGATCATCACTTATACTTCTTAACTGAAAATTTTCCTTTCACTATACCACTATCGGCTGGTTATTTGTTTATCATTCTAGCGTCTGTCTTAATCTTTATCCCCTGACTTTATAGTCACCAGCAACTGCGATGTTCACAGTGAACTCTAGACTCTGAGCACCTCCATTAATTTGTACGGTTGCTCATTCATTTGTAGTGGGAAAATCATCAGCTTATCTGAGCTTTAGACTTCATCACCTTCCTGGAAGCTCCTTATTGTCACTGAATAATATGGAATCGGATATCAAGGCGCTGGTTCATGTCATTCTCGTGTAATATGGTGAACATTATATAAATTCGAATCATACTTCGTATGTCAACAGGAATTATTCATTGCAAATCTTGTGGTGTCACTTACCAAAAGAAATCCTGATAACCGATATTAAGCTATTGGGACTGCCACACGTATAGGAGGGACCACGATGAATGTAAAAAAATGAAGTATATATACGTCTTATTATAGGAAGTTCCATCCGAATGTTTAAATCACTTCACTAAGTATAACAAAATTCTGTTTGAGAGAAGGTTTTCACAAATTCTAGCTATTAATGAGATCAATCAAGCACTACCAACAGCTTAAACGAACGTACCGTTGTTAGATCAATATTATTATTACCATTAACAGGTACGATACAAATAATAGCAATAACTGTATTCATTGAAATGATACGTCATATGAGATAACTGTGTTTCAGATATCTCTGAGTTGAGGAACGCTATTCTTGTGAATGCACTCATGTTTTCGACATTTTACACTCGATATGAAAAACTGTTATCGTTGGCAAAAAAAAACTAATAAAAATTCATCAATATTTAAGCCCACATGATTTCATATTGTTGAACAGACGTTAAAGCTTCAAACTCTCACAATAAAACGTTTCAGTGTTATTTATAAGCATTGCGGGAATGGGTGGGACGCTACAGCTACTGGTGTACTTTAGACTTCTGTTCATATTCTGACACCATATTGATTGTTGAGAAAATCTCTGCTCCGGTGTGATTGATGGATTATTATTTGTCATCTCATATTTATTTCATAAACATTGTAAGTCGAAGGAGCGGATATTTTTTCTGAATGCTACTGTCAAGCCTGGTTCTACCCCTATGACTGAAAGTGAGAATTTTCTTAAATGAGGAATGTATGCTTATGGGAAAAATTTTATTTATAAATGAAGTGAGAGAAGGTTCATATTCATGTGATGATTCCTTCAGAGAGTTTCTGAAGAGACGAGTGCTCCGAAGAATGAAGCCGATCTTTTCAGAAACTCCCACTCACAAGTAGTAATAAGAAAACAGTCAAAAATACAAACTTCTAAAATTGAAGTAGATTATGTTTCTCAATATCTTTCAATTTACGCCTGACACTTTATACTACTGATTGCGAGATATGAGTAGCTGAATGACATCTAAAGGAAATACACTGATTGTCAGTTCAAGTGATTCATTGTGATTCGGTTCATTCAGCTTTGATGAGCCAAGTACGCCGCCGATGAACAGGGCCTGAAACGAGTTAGATGGTTTTTTCATTGTTTCAATCACTTTTATCTAACCGGCCACTGGTTCGTGTTACTGGTGGCCATTCAGTCAATAATATTAAGTATCATCAATATATGGTTATTTTCTTAATGAACATTTATGGTATCCAGGCTACCATATACTTCGTTTGGAATAACTTCAGCTTCACAGGGCATCGGTGGTAAAATCATAACATTAAACTGTTTCATTACGAAACCGAGTACCTGATTTTTGAGTTTATCTGTTCTACTTCTGTGTCCTGAAGGAATGACTTGATCGCCTCGATTTCGTAGTGAGTCAGCTCTGTTGTAGCACATCTGTCAAATCTTACCACTCCGACTAATTCTGTCAATGCTATTTTCATATGTAATGCCGATGAGACTGTCCCATTTTATAAAGCTTCACTTTAATTCCGTTTGCGGCACAACTGTACTTTTGCCTAATTAACGTTGCAGGCTGGACTGTACTGTAGATCCATATTACAATAATAATGATAATAATATTATTGACGACTTCAACAATAAGGAATCTAAATCATCAGTAGTAATTCCATACAAGGAATGAACCTCGGAAGCCTTACGCAGAATTCTAAACAAGGCAGGAATAAAAACGGCATTCAAACCCACAAACTCAATTAGAAACAAGCTTTGTCGGTTAAAGGATCCTGTAGAGCCTTTAGAACAAAACAATTTAGTTTATCTCATACCCTGCAATGATTGTCAGGTCAAATACATAAGTCAAACTAGTAGAACAGGGGCAGTCAGACTAGCTGAAAATAAAAGCTTACCAAAATCTAGATTGGTTGATCCAGATACGATAAGAAATCTAGAGAATAGTTCAGCTATAGCACTACATGCAGTTACACACAACCTTATAATCGGGTGAGAGAGGATGACAGTTTTAAAATCTAATGTCACAGAAGCTTTGTTTATCGGACCAAATGCAAATACATTTAATAGGAATGATTCATCACTTGTCCTCGATATCTAGAAAATTCTACTACCCATACGACAAATAGGAAAAAACAAAGAAAACTCTAAAGCTCAAGTGTCAAAATCGTGTGATCACAATTGATATGATTATGAACAATAAATGTTGTTCGAAACGTCATCCAGTGAATAATACTGTTTCACTGTGTGATATATCCAATAAACAAACTAATATGGAATTACTCACTACCACATTACCCACGTTTTGCACACATATTAATATACTGTAGATCTTTCTGCTAGGTGTTTGTTTTTAAAATTTGGAAAACATCCTTCTGATTTGGCTTTCTTACATTCATTGAGCAACACTAAAATATCCTGAGTGTGAAAAAACAAAACAGTTTTAAAAGTTGATGTCATCAGAATAGTAATTTTGCTCGAAATATTACCAAAAACAAAAACGTTTCACTGTGTGTAAATTATAAAAATACTATTACAGTTTATTTGACGTATTCCACAGTGCTCAAACCCTTTACTGATATTAGTTAGATCATGTGCGACAGTTAACAATCTGTCACGTATTCTGTGGATCTAAAAACGCTTAGATATTATCAACTCATTGCAAGGCAAGCCGTCTGAAAATTCAGCCATTGAGATGAACCGTCAATTTGCAATACGAAGTGCGACCACCAGCTAGCATTTCCCATGAATATCTGTCCTCACATCAGAATTGAGGGAAAATCTGATCATAAACATTTTTATAGACAAAGACATTTTATTTTACAGGAAATTCAGTCTTTGTATCTCAGGATGGAACATGGAGGACATGATAAAGGCGCTCACCTATTTCTGACCAGTTGCCTGTGATTAGTCGTCCTAGTAAACTAAGGCATTCAGTATGCTTTGTCCTGCCACGTCGAATCAAATTCATGTAATATAATTAATTACACTCGGTGATTTTAGAGGTAACGGTCTTGTAGTCAGTCTATAGCAGATTTCATTACAGACAATAATATCCCATATGGCCAGAAAAATCCCAAAAATCAAATTTTCCGAAATTTGAGCTAGCCATGACTTTTGATTTTTGATGCGAATTCATTTCAAAGCATAATGGATATGTAAGTGAAGTAGAGTATATGATGACAGTGCTTCATAATTTGGGCGAGGTAATCAAAAATTCTGCCATCATATTTCATGCACATTTCATTACTGATTTCATCCACAAATTAGAAATAAGGATTGTAGTCCACTTAGTAAATTAACAATCTAACAGAAATCTAAGTGAAACTCCGTACATTCATGATTTCGTATTTTTTATTTTTCTTATGTTTTGCAGGTAGCTCTGGTTAAGTCAGCTATTGATTTTGAAATCAACTGTTATGCGAATCAGACGTGTTTACTAATTTCAGTGTTTACTAAATATCAGGCATTGAATCTCGTCATTAATAAACGAAATATTTGTTGAATTCACATATAGAGTAAAACGTCTTTATTGTATTAACTAACAATTACTGAAAAACACTGAATAATTTTAGAGTACACAGTTCTAAATTGTCGAGACTGTAATGCTAACTCAGCCTAATGAATAAGTGGAGAGTAGTGAAGTAAACAAAACAAACAATCTTCATCGCCTGAAAATGTTTACATTATTTCAATACTTATTGTAATAAGCGTTGAACAAAGTCCATTATTCAAAAAAAACAATAACGATAAATCTACATTTCATAAGTGGTTTGAAAATTGTTTCTTTTTTAAACAGTGAAAAGTTAACTAAAACGAGTTGGCTATTCGTATGCTTCACAGTTTAGTGTATATAAGTAGTCAGTATGAATCAACGATTGCCACATTGACAAAAAGTGTCGTACTTTATCCTGTGTTGTATATTTTTGCTAAATTTGAAATTTTTCCAGATGATTGAACACGCATATTTGAATCATTTCACGTTCTGTCTTTAGTCTGGAGATTTCTAGATTATATTTCTTTTAAAACAAAATACTTATATCCACAACTACTCTCTCCCTTTATTACTGACTATTTCAAAGTGTTCCTTCTTAGTATGTAATGCTTATCACGTGATTTCATCGTCAGAATACATAACGTCGTATGAAGAGTCAACCAGCACTCTAATCCTATTTATTAGTGATAGACAAACTCATGAGAAACATCATCCAGTAGAAGTTGTTGTGCAAATACAAAAATGGAAGTTTTAGTGAAGAAATATTTATTTATTCTATTAATTTGAAATGTGAACTGTCAAATAGTCAGGCAGTTACATGCATAATAAAATGTGTAGGCAACACAAGTGAATATCCCTTGACACAATATGACCGATAGACTGATGTGTTATTCATGTTATTTCAGCGAGCTCGCGAAAACTAGAACCAACTGAAAGAAACAAAGTAACAAATAGAACAACATTAATTTTCTGAGTTTCAACTGAATTTATGTCAGTCTCTTGACTGAATGTAAACTCCTGATTTACATTAATGAATGAAATCAACACTGAGATCTACAGAAAATGCGATTTAGAATTTTGTATTAACTTCAGCAGGCTTGTCAAGGTAGACTTCGCCTCTGTTACAAATTGTTCATGATTTCTCATCTCAAACCAAGCATCACAGCTGATAAATAAAAAAATTTCTAAATTCCAAAGTAAAACTGTGAACTTACTATAACTACGCCAGTGTTCCATAATCCACCAGCCAATTCAGAATATTTCATCTGAAACGAGTTCAGATAAATTACATTCAGAATGTTGATCAAGGATTACAGCAGATTAAATGCACAATTCAAGTATTAGTAACATGTCAATGAAAGTGAATGTTGTCAAATGAAACAAAACTACAAAATGTTTGTGTACAACAATGCAGCTTTCTGAAAATTTCAATGAATCAGTGAGATAAATTAGGGATCACTGAAATGCATCTTATCACAAGAATTAAAGTTTAACATTTCTTACCACTGTGTAGTAGGATGTTTCGTCATTATCAGAGATTTACATTGTGATTTTTATTTTACACATCAAAAAAGCTTGATGCTGCTTCTCAGATGGGCAAATGTACTTCACTTATTGAAATGCTGCATTAATACCGCTACTTTCTCTTCCTTTGGTAATGCAAAGATGTACGGTCTCAAGAATACACAGATAAGTGTAAGGCTTAAATTCTATGTCAGTACTAATAAGATTTAGTTGATAATTCCAGTTATGTTAAATGTTAAAACGATAAAATGAAAAGGATCATGTAAAATTTCAATGCACTTACCTCACTAATGTAAACATAAAACAAAACTGCTCCAATTATCAGAAAAGTCGTCGATAAAGTTTCCAGAACTATTATCACCACTAGTTTGAATCTTTTGACATAGATGCAGGCGATAATTGTTAACAAATCTTCCACAATAACGAAGGCCAATAAAATGTAACACTTAAAATCAGGCCCTTGACAACACATAAAACAGATTGATGCAGACCATAATACTATCTGTTGGCAAAAAAAATAAGACATTCTGACCATCTGAGTTGGAAAGTTTTAACATATTTTCACGAAACTGACGTAAACATAGAAATTTCATATAAAATAACAGCGAATGTCAGTTGAAATGTTCTTGCAGTGTTACTTTTAGTGGTGTGAAAAACCCGCATAGAAACGTGAATGTTACTTTCGCGTTTATTGTGTGTGACCAACGGTATATGCGTGCAACCGCAGAGGAATTAATGAATCCTCAGTATCTCACATTCGCCTAATATACTGGTGTACACTGTATCTGTTTCTCGTAACATTTCGTGGTTTACATGAAAAAACGTAATTTCTGTTGTTCTGTAAACTGCCAAAGCATCAGATCTATAATGGTGTATCCCGCTACACTTATTAAATGATATTCACACGTACACAGGTAGGACGCATCGATCTGTGCACGTAAGGGCTGAAGAAAGCACTCCTTGATAGCTTGAAGAATAGATAATAATCATGATTTTAAACACAATCCACTGGACAAGTTTCATGTTGTGCTTTAATTCAGTGAAGTTGGTAACATCTAAGGTGTGGAAACTTACATCCATCCGACAGTTTTGAATAAAGCTACAAATATCAGTCCGCAATTTTAGGGGTATGACGTACAAGATCAAGTTAAGCAAAGACTTGATAAATCTACAAGTAGAATTAGTTGTGCTGCGAAACTCGTGTTCATTGACTGCACCAAGTGACTTCTTCAACAATCTGGAAAAGTGCTTTCGCCAATCTTCAAATTGAGTGTGTTTGTGGAAACACATAAATAGATCTTAGGAGGAGGCGATTAACTGTTTTCATAATTCAGCTTTTGGTAGTGTGACAGGGTATCAAATGTCCAATAATAAAGAATTTTGTAGACTGTAGACACGAGAATGACTGCATTAATTGCTTCCATTCTGTCATTTAAGAAAGTAAAATAAGTACGTGTGGAGGAGTGTGAAATTGTGGTTCGTAAACTTAGTCTCCGTGTACAGAAAGAAATTGCGATCACTCTGAATCCACTACGTCATTTCACCTTACTTATCACCTGTTTTTATTATTGTTATTAATTTATTCTACTTCATTATTATCGTTCATTCATTTGAAACCATCCTTTATCAGTAGTGGTATCTTAAGTCGTTATAATATTCATATTATTGTCATTGATATTATTATCAATACTATTGAGTTTGATGTTCCGCCGAAATTTGGTGAATTTATTAAATTCTGCTTTATTCACCTTTGTTGCTTGCTGAAATTTAATCCATTTTGAGTGAATATCAACAACAGAAACAAAATTATCTCGAGGAAACGAAGCTAATTCATAAACGTGAATCTCTGAGGAACTTACTATGAATCCTATCAAGATTAACGCAATTTTTAAATTATTTGTGAATTTGACGAATACCAATATACACAAGAGCATACTCAATACTCTAAAATACAAATGGAAAACAGCTATAATGAATTCCGGAAGATGAAAGGAGTTTTCTATGTAAAAGCATTCAATAGCCTTACATCAATCATTCCTTGCTAGTTCATACTTTTATCCATGCAAATGATTTGCTGTTAAGAGAAGCAGGAGTTTCCACATATTTGGAACTTTTGGGGAATCATTCCTAGTATATATTCACTCATATGATTGTAAAACTGAAGCACTGCTTAGACGTTTATTGGTCCGATACATTATTTAATATCAGATGAACTCAGTTAAGCTGTACTGTTCGAATATTCCAAAAAAATTCATTTTGTTACGTTTCGCAAGTTATCAGTTACTCAAGGTCCAATAAATCCTTTTCAATCCAAAGTATTCATTGTTTGCCTACTAATACTATTCAAGAAACGAAAGCCTAATATTTGTCCTGAGGGAAAGAATTTTCGACCATGTTTGTACTTTTTCTGTTTGTTTTACTTGTTATTAAAAATATTGTACAGAGTCCGATATTCGGAATAGTCTTCACTCAACTAGCATCTCAACGCAGGTACAACTGATGAATTACTAAATATTTATTCACATGGACTTAAATTGAAATATTAGTTCTTTTGCATAACTTTAATCAAACCAATATTCACAGCAAACAAATATGCCTAATGTTGTATCATCGCCGGTAGACCTTGAAGATGCCACACATCCGATTAAGACAGTGTCTACGTAAACAAGAAAATACTTCAAATCGGTAGTAGTCAATAGTTTGTTTGATTCTTTGCTCTATAATTTATTTTGATTTTGGCTTGATTCCACACCGTATTTTCGCTGCAATTATGAAATTTTCAGCGTGTGATATCGGTAGGCCAACTTCACAGACCGACAATTGATATCGGGTGTGCGTCGAAAGGGGTCTAACTTCGGACCATGTGCATGATCGACGGCAACCTTAACCGCTATGCCATCACCGCACACCACCTTTTCAAGATTTGACTTTTGCAGTTATAATCACGAAGTGATGTGAAGGTATTTCAAGTCATATACAGTTAATATTGTTTATCTCAAAGATCACGGGAAGGAAGACTTACAGACAAGCGATTGCTACATAATCCTTCCATTCATTAGCAAAACTTGCGTACGCCTGAAGAAAAAATAATAAGTTCATGTTAGTAAAAATTCTGATATCGTTCATAAATAACTGATTCTAAACAAAATCAAGAAAGCTATTTTGAAGCGTTGCCCACAGTGGTTACACATTTGGTGACTGCTGATTTTAGAGAAAACTAATATGTCCTTAATTCTCAGCATGAATGGTTGAATGCATAAACATTGCCTACATAAATGAGCGATGACATCGATGAATATGTTAATTGTGTGACAATTTCATATCGTAAAAAATTCAAAAGTTGGAGTTGATATCAAACAACAAATAAGATTGAAATATCTCAGAGACAAAAATTCGGCCTGAAATAACTATCGGTATACACATGGAAACATGACAACCATCAGCGTGTGAATTGACAGTTTTCATTCACCATAACAGTTCTTCTAAAAGCCTGTCCTCACATAATAATATTCAAAAATTAATTATAATAATAATAATTAATTAATAATAATAAATTATAATAATGGAAATTTAATAATAATAATAATCACTTTATTCCACAACAATAACAATTTACAGCATGGAATTTTCAGCGTTTCATTTTACATATTGCATTGGTTTAGCTCTTTTTATAATCATATAAATGTATGAAATGTTAAAAATATTGATAAGTAATAGGAAAAAATAAAAACCCCAACAAAATCGCACCATTACTAGGTGATAGTGAATAAGAAATAAATAAAATAACAAATCACACATGCAATAATATGCATCATTACATTTTATAGTTTAGTTATTGATTTGAAATTTGTAAAAGTTCTTTTCTGATATTCGTCTCTTCACACAATACTCGTGCCAAATATGGTACGGTCGAATTTTTATATTTTGTAGTACGAGCATAAATGTTTATGCACTATGTTCGGAATTGCAATCAGTAATGGGATGTGTCAATAAAATCCTTAAGAAGAATAAAAAGGGGTAAGTCAACAGATTCTCTGATGTTGTGATGACTGCTCAATATACATATCAAATATTAAACCTCATAAACCATGAAATCATGAAATAAGAATGCCTAAGATTAAACGAAGAATGCAGCCATTGATGACAAGAAAGTGATAGTAACTACACATCATAAGAACTGAAGTGCTTACCTCTAAAATAACAATCATCTTACACCAGACGCTATGAAATGGACTTACATCATTGCTAAACTTATATGTAAATATATATTCACCTAATTCTCTGAACTCTGTCTCAAACTTTGTTTACATTCATGCTGAAATGTTTAATAACTGGTAATAAAAACTTCAGTTCACATCGAACTTGGTTGTATTCAGAAGTAAAATCAAGTCGTCTAATGCATGTTTATTTAATAATTTAAATCACGACTGAAAATATTTTTCTACTATCAACCAGGTAGTGTTACTTGATGAAAAGTGGCTAGTTCATAGAACAATGGAATATTAAAAGAGTCAAAAAATGATGAAGTTACATTAACTTTATTCGTGTGATAGTTTCGTTCATGGTGTACGTTAACAGGATGACTGTGTTTGGAGTGGTCAGTGCGTTTTTTTTATACTAGATGCACAATTAACTCTATACTGCGCTCCAATCTGTGTAGATCCTATAATACCTTCAACTAAACTTTTTAGAGTAATCGTTATTTCTCTTTATTGATAACTGATCAGATAGACATTTCTTTTGGGCTTTGAAATCCACTAACATTCTAACTTCCACCATCAGTAATTTCAGTGTTCATTAGAATATTAAAGTATAACTTCATTTAAATATAAATGATAAAAACATCATGTTACTGAATGCAAGAATGAAGTGGGCTTTTCACTAAGTATTTAACAATAAGTTAGCAGATTCACTCCATACAAGTTTCTTGTCAGATGAAATCCGTGTCAAAAGATGTATCGCAGAATATTTACAATAAGTCGATAATCCATAAAATTCTCAAGGGTCACTATTATTCCTTCTTGCTGTTATAAAGGAAGAGAGCTTTATAAAGGGAAAATAACCTGTAGATAAAAATGAATTTTGGTTAATTTTATTTATCTTGACTCAAATAAACATGCATTCAGTTTATATCCGAAATGCAGTGCTGCTTTGCTTTTCATCTCTAGTTCAATGATCAGTTGTTGGCGTTCTTCTCATGCATTTTGAAGTTAATGTCAACGATTTAATCGTCCCTTCACTACACTTTTGGAACCTGTTGCAGAGGTGTTTTTCAACTGAAATAAATGGAATATATGCTAATTGTAGAGAATAACTATCTGCATTGATGATTTTCATGAAAATTGATGTAAGACTAACACCTTTAGGTAATGATTGATGAGTGTAGTCACGAAGTTGTCTTTAAATTAAAGTTGATGTGCGAATGCTGACAACTGCAAATCAGAAACTTTGTGATGCATAAAGGCGATTGTTCTTCCCAAACTACGATTTTCATAAATCACCAGCGGATTTGCTGTAATGGGTGATTACGTTTTCAGGTGGCTAGCATGAGCATCCATGATAAGCATTACATACTAAAGGGAACACTTTGAAATAGTCAGTAATAAAGGGAGAGAGTAGTTGTGGATATGAGTATTTTGTTTTAAAAGAAATATAATCTAGAAATCTCCAGACTAAAGACAGAACGTGAAATGATTCAAATATGCGTGTTCAATCATCTGGAAAAATTTCAAATTTAGCAAAAATATACAACACAGGATAAAGTACGACACTTTTTGTCAATGTGGCAATCGTTGATTCATACTGACTACTTATATACACTAAACTGTGAAGCATACGAATAGCCAACTCGTTTTAGTTAACTTTTCACTGTTTAAAAAAGAAACAATTTTCAAACCACTTATGAAAGGTAGATTTATCGTTATTGTTTTTTTTGAATAATGGACTTTGTTCAACGCTTATTACAATAAGTATTGAAATAATGTAAACATTTTCAGGCGATGAAGATTGTTTGTTTTGTTTACTTCACTACTCTCCACTTATTCATTAGACTGAGTTAGCCTTACAGTCTCGACAATTTAGAACTGTGTACTCTAAAATTATTCAGTGTTTTTCAGTAATTGTTAGTTAATACAATAAAGACGTTTTACTCTATATGTGAATTCATCAAATATTTCGTTTATTAATGACGAGATTCAAAGTCTAATATTGAGTAAACACTGAAATTAGTAAACACGTCTGATTTGCATAACAGTTGACTTAATAATGAAGCTGGATTTAATTTAAAATAAGGGTTACTCAGTGACTTGCAATATTCAGTGTAAAATGAATTACACAACCAGTGATATTAGGAAGCGAGATAAAATACAGTACTACAAATGGGCATAGAGTGAGATCAAAGGAAATTAAGATAGGAAATTCGTCCATCACACCACTCCCTTTCCGTAAATACCTGGAAGTCTGAAGTACATGAGATTTTACATCTCAGAATTAATTTATCTGATCGAAGCACCCAATGATGCAGTATTATACAATCACAAAAATTCAAACACATAAATTGTTCATCATCGTATCAAGGAATAATTAAATACCTTTCAAACTACGTTAATAAAAATAAATAACTTGAGCATCTCGGTTTTATTTACTACTTGACGGATAGATGAATAGAATAAATTGAATAAAAGTCACCTAACCGAATGTTTGTAGTGATTTTCAGTGTCCCTCAAATTTACTCATCTAATAGGTGTTATATCTAACTCGACAATGCTTATAATATTGTAGGAAAGAGGCAGGGAAAAACCGTCGTTCATTGTAGTTATCTCTGATTACTTGGACAATGATGATGTGAATTTACTTTTCCATATCTGCGATTGGCAAAGATTTACAAAATCTTTCCAAAGTGAGAAGATTCGATAAGTTGTTCTTTGTCTGAAACTAGGATATGCTTTATGCACAAACCATTCGATTCTTTGATAGTGTTGTTGACAGTTTCGTGATATATATTTCTGAGTTATTGGAGTGATTTTTTATTCGTACACGGAAGTAACACTTAATCATCTATTACAGGTTTCCAGGCTGTAGGTGTTACGAACTTCCAAGAATAATTTGAGCGCCCATTCAGATTGATTCATTATAAATTATTTTAATTAATCACAGGGTGTTAAGAAAAACACACAACCACATTTTTCTGAACGTTTAGCTGTGTAAGCCACAGCTTCTTCAGCAGAATTATTCGGATTTTATTATTCATCAAGATATATATATACATTTATAATTTATAATGAATGTATTAGAGAGCTAAACAATATCTGCCAAACACTACGGGGCGCTTAAACTTTACCTCCAGGAAGTGAAATAATTACGGCTAATTTCATGTTTGTTGACCCTGATAAAAGTGGTTTCAATTTACATCCGATACTATTCAAGAAAAATTTTGCGGTGTCTTTATATTTGTCTGTAGTTCGACGACCTGATGTCGATGTTCTTCCCATGTATTTTGTAGTTATTCTCTGTGAATTAATCGTTGCTTCAATGTACGTCTTCCGATTGGTTGCAGATGTGCTATTCAAAAGAACTAAGTGGAATATATGCTAAATTGTTGAGAATAATAATCTGCATTGATGATTTTCATGGAAAATGATGTTGGAATGAATAACACTGACACCTTCATGATTGGTGGATGTGGACAGAAGGTCTTCGTTGAACATCCATTGATTCGCAAGAACAGAGAATCGCGTATATACAAGTCAGGAAAATGTTTGATTCATAAGGGTGATCGTTTTACCACTCTCTACTATTGATATTCAGCACTAAATTGTATTGATGTCAACTGAAAGATATTTATGCCAAAACTCCGCTTTTCATCTCTAACTAATGGGTTGATTTTATTGTTTACTTCGGCTATGTTATCAAGTTAACTGAACACTAGCAAGCGACTCAAGAATACGTACTGTATTATATTTGGAACTATCTGATATAGTTATTTAACTGGAGGAAAAAAACACGTGGATAAGAATGTTTTCTGTTGGATGTCATATTACTCAGATATCTGCACATTAAAGGCATAATGTCAGTTGATTCATATTTAAGGAGTAAAACTTTCAGAAAAAATATCCAGCAAATAGCATCCGTTGGATACTGTTTGTCACTATAATACTCATCGATTACTGCTGAATACTGATACTTAATAAAACGCTCTAAAGTATGTCAGTAGTCAAATCGTTTGAATTATGATCTCAGTGGTTTCAAGAGAATTAATTCTCACAACACAAATATATTTTGTGTTTATTGCTTTTTTATAATCAATTCAATAGACTTTGCTCAACACTAATTACAATAATTAGTGAAATATTTAACTGTTTTCAGGCGATGAAAAAATAAAAACGTTTAGTTTTTTTTACTCTCCGATTATTCATGAATCTCTTGAGGCTTGATACTTTGAATTATTGTGGACTGTGTACTCTAAAATTGTTCAAAGTGTTTGTCGGTAGATGGTAGTTTTTAGAATAGTGACTTATTATTCTAAATGTCAACCTAACAAATATTTTGTTTAAATATGATAGAAGATGCAAAGTCTAATGGAGAACAATTGACATTTGAATAAAAATGAGTGATGTGCACATCAGCAGTTTTCATACTGACACTCGATATAAGTCAAAAAAGGGATTCAAGAAAGTCGTTTAAGTTGATCTTATTAGATAAATAATATTTAAAATCACCAGTATTGTTAAAATAACGATTATTCAATGAATGCCAATACTCAGCGTCAAATGAACCACACAATCAGTAGTTTTGGGAAATATGACGAGCCACAGTAGAAAATCACAGAAAATTCGTTTATCATACCACGCCTTGTTGAATAATTCTTAGAGTCTGAAGTACCTGCTTTTTCCATCAAAGAATAAAATTATTCGATCAAAGCCCAATGTGATGCAGTAAGATATATATTCTAAATTGTTATGAATACTAATCTGCATTGATGATTTTCATGGAAAATGGTGTAGGACTGAATAACACTGACACTCTCAGCTCATGGTTGGTAAATAAGGCCACATGGTCGTCTTTGAATTTTGGTTGATTCACAAACGCTGAGAATTTCTTATCAACCAATCAGAAAAATGTTTGATGTATACTGGCTATTGTTTCAGTTTCGTCAACTGTTGATGTAAAGCCCTATATTATACTAGTGTCACTTAAGCGACATTTGTGTTGAAACTCCACTTTTCA